GTATGAATTTATATTGTGATATTACTAGTTCGAATTCATCGATTAATGTTGCCCTATGGATGGCTGGAACCTACATCACAACCGAGATCTTATAAACTATAGAGTGATGCGTAGTAGATACAGCCCATGTAATGGAATATTCCATTAATTGGTCATTCGGTTTAGAGCAATCGAAAGCGAGTTCTAATTTCAAGAATGTTCTTCACGTTGGACGGTTAATGATTTAAGATTTTAGGAGGAGATATATTTAGGAAAAACAGTTCGCAACAGTAGTCCCTAGTTCGGAGATGATCACATTCAACGAAAGCATTAACAATAGAACATTGGATACTGAATGGAATATATTTATCTACTGCCGCGTAGTATTTATTATATGTGCTGTAATAGACGTGGTAGGATTCTGTGCCAATTTCTTTTCTATTCTCGTGTTTGTTAGTCAACGTAAACTGCGCAAGAAACATAACACTTTTGTCATCAACTTAGCCGTGGCCGATTGTCTTGCGGGTTTCTGGGGATTTTTGTGGAACGCATTTTTCGGCTATCCAAGAATCTTGAACAAAGGAAAGTTAGGTTTTACTGGAATCGTTGTCTTGTCTATGTTTGACTATGTTATCATGGCGTCAATCTTAAGTATTTTTGCTGTTTCTTTAGAAAGATTCTCGGCTGTGGTTACACCTTTAAAACACGCTCATTATACACGACAGCGAACATTAATGTATTATATAATTTGTATTTGGTGTATTTCTATAACAAATGTATTCGACTATCATTCTGGACCAAGGTTTTGTTACATGGAGCGATCATTAATACTGATACTTGTGGCGTTGGTTTGTTTTATGTACATACCTATATTTTTTATAGCAAGAAATACGACCATTAAAAGACAAAATACCATTACTGCTATCCATAAAGACAAAATACAAACTGCAATGCATGTGTTAAAAATATTTGGTCCAATAGTTGCCGTCTTGTGGTTGAACATGTTTCTTCAAATTGGAAATGTTGTATCCTGTGGACATCGTAATGTATCAAATGATTTTCTATCGTATTACTTGTATACATTTTGGGCGTCGTATTCTATCAACACAGCAGTTAACCCTTTCATCTACTGGGGGCGGCAAACACAATTCAGAATTGGCTCTAAAAATATGCTAAAGACATGTAAATTGACAATCGCAAATTTATTTGTGAACGATACTCAGAATTCGGTGAATACTATATCAGGTAATTGAAACAGGTTCTAAAGCACACGACGTGACAGTCACAAGACGCTATATGTTAGGAGACACAGCGTATATACGACGAAATTTCGCTTTCAAGGAGATACTATTATTGATAAAATATAAAACATTAAAAAAATAAATAAAAATAAAATAAACGGTGGGCAATGTTGTTTAACACTATGTCCACACTATCAAAACATTGATAATGTGGAGAGAGCTTTATACAATATTGCACATGTGACAAATTTGTGTGATATGCCCATATATAGGCATGATGATGTCATAGTAGGCCTACACCCAATGCCGTGGCCAGCTATTGGGACAGTTGGGACAGTCCCACACAATTTTTCTAATGGTCCACAAAGAATGGGTCCACATTTTGAAAAATAGGTCCAAATTATGCAATTTAAATTTTATTAATACATAAAATTGGTTCACTTTTTGAAAAATGGTTCCAGATTTTTCACATTTAGCCTAAAAGTGGTAAAATTTTAATCAATTATGGTCCAGATTTTTCATATTTTTGCTTAAAATGGGTCAACTTTTAAGAAAATTGGTCCACATTATTTGAATTTACACGTAAAGTGGGTCAACCCCGATATTGTCCCGCACTGTTTGAAAATTTTGGCTACGGCATTGATTGTACACCATAGATGTAACATAAAATGTGATAGTGTGGACTGCGCTTTAAAATGTAAACTCATGGCGTTTAGATATTACTCACGATAAGGTATTAACAGTGAATCGATTGTTCACTGTAAAAACAGCGTGGAGGATTTAAATTCAAAGTTCCACGCAATTTTCTCCTGCCTTTGGCGACACGTTTAAAAGCTAAACGTGTTTAGGCCCGGCCTAATATGTTTAGGTTTCTGACGTGTTTGGCTTTAAATGTGCTTAGGTATGATTTAATTCTAAACACGTGAAGATCCTAAGCACATTAAGTTATGTCTAAACACTTTTATCTTTTAAACGCGTTGGTTAAGGTTAATGTTTATAATTGGCTGAACACTTGTTCAGTGTTGCTGCCATATTGGCGCATTAGCAAGCAACCCCACCAAGTACCCACTTATATTCCCGGGTGGAGAGAAGCAACACTTGTATTCCTGGGTGGAGAGAAGCAACGCAAAATGCAGAGATCGAGGGATTAAAACCCCGACTTCGAAATTTGGGAAACCAGTTCTCTCTTCTATGGTATGTCATATCTTCGAATTGAATAGAATATTATGATTTGTGAACGACTTGTAGCAAAATCAATTATTACTAGGATTAACCTAGATATTTATATTTCGGACCTACTCATATCATGGGGTATCCTTTATTATGTGGTCAATATTCATTGAATTGTAGTGCTCTAAAAGACCTTTTTAATATGCATTTAGAAAAGTACTATGGCATTTTAATTTTTAGCAGCCAATATTACACGAGTGTATTCAGAATTTATGTACAAACCTCAAGTTATAATTTCGATCGTCACTGTTCATTCACGTTTACATAAATTACACATGGTCCGAATAAATCCACACGGTGGCTTTTCATTAAGAACAACCTCCATCATGAAATTATCGTAAATGCTGGCCTATATCTTCTTACTACTTGAGGACAATCAAGTTGATGATGGACTAACGTGTATCGTTCGTCGTGACTATTGCATTAATGGTATTGCCTTAATTGGACTAATAACTAAATTACGAATCGATTAAATTTAACCTCTACCCAAAATACTACTCTCAAAATGCACCTCTATCTCAGCTTAATTATATTTCTATTATTATCATCATCACCACCACCACCATCATCATAATCATCATCATCAAATTATGATCATCGTCATCATCATTATAAATGTTATTACTGTATTATTATTATTATTATTATTATTATTATTATTATTATTATTATCATTATTATTATTATTATCATTATTATTATATTATTATTAATATTATCGTCATCATAATACTATCACTAAAATAATAATGATAATACTTTGATAACAATAATAATAATAATAATAATCATAATAACAACAATAATAATAAAAATAATAATAATAGCCTAATAATAATAGGCCTAATAATAATAATAATAATAATAATTATTATTATTATTATTATTATAGTGATCGTTATAGTTATATTCTTGAACATTTCATATAATTATATTGTCAATGTAGTGTATTTTGGACGCACAAGAGACAAGTTGATCGACAGCGAAACTCTAATTGAGGTATGATACAAATTAACATGCAAAAATGTAATAGTTTTAATAATTAGTATTCTAGATTCGTACATTTTTATATATTTTGCAGGGCCTCTTGAATCATGGTTACTTTTAGTATAATGGTGGCTGCTTTATTTTGTAAACCTACCTTTTGGTAACTTCCTACTAAATCTTCCTTATAGGCCTACTACTTTAAAATAGGCTGAAGAGTTTGATACAGATATGGAATATAATTTAAGTTTAGCATTTATTTGATAATATAAACCCAGATCTTTTCATATAGTATATTCTGTATATTTATAATTACACCTAAATGCTTCTAGTTTTGTACCGTTTGTGTATGTTGACAATTAAGACAATGTTTTGAGGCACCTATTAACATAAATACTGTTTTGTCGCACCCATTTTCTGACATGTCTTTTTACGTGTTACATAATCACTGTACAGTATGTACATTCTAGATCCAATGCCGTGTTTTCAGACATATAATGTTATACACTATAAACTTGTTTTGTAATTGTAATGAAAAAAAAAAAAACATATCAGCTCTGGCCTATTTAGGCCTACCGACGATCTTCGCTATCTTGGAGTAACATGGGCCTCCGCATACATCTCCGCTGGCGGCATACAACGTTGAATTCCAGCAATCGACGAAAGGAAGGAAGTCGCTAGTTGCAGTATTTAATAAAGAACTGGCATGCATGCTGCTGCGTAACGCTAACTCTCGTGTGGCGGTCCGCAGGGCCCCTGACCATTAGGGGCCCTGGAACCTTTCCCCATAAGAAGAAGCTTTGTTTATACGTAACAGCATAATGCGTCTCTCTGACTCTCATTAGATCCTGTGACGCAATAAAAGGCCGACACGCGTCCCCTAAATTTGTTTTTTTTAAATGGAGATAAAATAAAATTATATTCAAATTTTAAGCATGTGAATGCCATTCCCAGCCATCTAGAGGTGGCATAATCATAAACTTTCTTATCTAAGCCCCAACCATGGTGAAGATAAGGAGGTATAGACCCTCCATCTGTGAAATTCCCTCCCTGGGTCCCCTTTGTTTCAAATTCCTGGATCTGCCACTGATACCATATCATTTACTTCGTGGTTAACAAAAATTAGAATACAATGACAAACATGATCTAACATTTATTCTAACTACAAGGGATCTTACATACTATATAAAGTTTTACATACAATTATGGTAAAAGGTCTGTTTGTAGCTTATTGCATTTAAATCTTTTCAACTAGACAGATCTCTGTCAGCAGAATTTAATGTCAGTGCCATCCTCATTAAAACATCAATAATATAAATAACGAGAACGTATGTATCAGAAATGTTTTAAATTAAAACAGAAACATTAATACTTATTTATTTCAATTATTTATTCATTTTTAATATAAAAAAAATTCTAATAGAAAAACTGTGAAACAGATAAAATTTCGATATTTTGATGGATGTTCACAAATTGATAGGTCTATAACAATTAATTTTATAAATGTTATCTTTAAAAACTTTATAAGTAGGCCTATTAGTAAAAAATATTTTAGATTTTAGTTGTAGGCCTACTATTCTAATAATTTTGATCCAACTCAGATCATAATGTTATGCATAATTTTATATAAATTCCTCATAAGCTTACTTTTAATAATCCATCTCCTTTTGTTTTTACCCTTTTATGTTTATGGAAATATATTATCGATTGTGTCATTGAGATATGCTACATTTTAGGCTGTGATATTGATTATGTTAGTCATGTAAAATTCACCCTACTTGCTATCATTAAAACCATTAATTAAAGATATAGCTAATGTGCCGAAAATTGCAAAAAATTAAAATTCAGTTTAAATTGAATTCCACAGCCAAATAGGCCTACTAAGCAACTAAGATTGATGAGCTCGAGAATATGAATAAGACTAGTTTTACTGGCGCGACATTATCGCAACATAATTTAATATTAATAAACAGATAATGCTCCTGTATCTATTGAAGACGCCGATGACGTAAGCTGTCCTAATATCAACATAGGGATTTAATTCCATTATAAAAGTATGAGCTTTTGTTCTTTTTTTAAAATAATTTTCTATGAATATGGTAGCAATAAATATATTATTGGGTGTTGTATAAATTGGATACTACACAGCCTAATACTAGAAGCAACAAACATTGAGTTGAAGAGCAGAGCTTTTAAGATTGACGAGGCCTTAATATACCGAATAACAATAACTTTAATGTGTCTGACTTGCGTGACATTAGCACAGTATAATATTAATATTAATTAACAGATAATGCACCTGTATCTGCCGAAGACGCTAATGGCGTTATTTGGCCTGATATAACATGAGAAACTAGTTCCATTATAAAGGTATGAGTTTTCGTTCTGTTTTAAAGTAATGTTCTATGCATGTTCCAGTAATAAATATATTAATGAATGTTACAATAACAGTATTTTTTATCATTTGCTCTAGCGACAGAGTAAGTGAATTTAAGATTTTCGAGAAGTTATTTACCATTTTAGATATATATTATGTAGTGTTGTAATCTAATTGTTACTCTGTTGAGAAAGGCATAGAGGCCTATTTTTGTGAGATAATTTTATATACCATGCACGAAGTCTAAACGCAGTACAACGTAGTATTATCTTAATATGGGTTATAACAAAACAAAAAAGATAATTATAATCTTTTAATAAACGCAAATGAGTCTAGATGTACGCTTTTCCACTTCATTTATAGATGGTGAGACATTTAATAATGAAACCGCATGGGCTCTATAGAATAGAGTGTCATCTTTATTCTTCTTTTTTTTAATTGGATAAGAATCATCAATAATTGATTCCTCCAAAAGTAAACCCAACTTTGAGCGAAATTAGCTTTACATGTATAGGGAAAGACCAGAATATTTTAATATTATCTATAATTCTAAGTTGAGATTTCTAAACTTCACGTGCATTTTATTTTGAAGCTTGTTTGGATATTGTTTTATTGTTTCAAGTGATCTTTGAAAAAGTTTGAATAACATTTTAAAATCAGTCTTAGAATAGACCTTCTAAGAGAAATAAAATACAATGGATGGAGAGAAAGGACCTGTAGTTTTGTACATAATTTATGGTCGCAGTCATATAAATCCCACAATTAATAGGCCTACAGACATTACCAATTTGTGATGATGAATAAAGGTGCTTAGAAGACGAATCTAGTAGCATAAGAAACCAACTTTGTGACCTAAAACAGTCCAATGACACATGAAAGACGACATAATCAATAAGAATCGTGTCTAAAATTTTAGAATTATGATTAATAATAATTTTAGAAACTACCAGGAAAACACTATGATAGCACCAACAATATCACTGTAAGGTTGCTATTTTTCGAAGAAGTGAACATAAAATTTCCTTAAGAAGATCTGATTTGTCTGATGTAGGCCTATTTCAGTCCAAAGAGTTCAAGCATATTTTGTAGTACTAGATCAGCAAATAAACTCTACCACCATTGATTCCTGTCCCGTCTGAATAGTGCGTGATTCAAGGAAGCAATTTAAGTTTCTATAACCAGCCATGTTTCCGTATAAGTATAACACGGGGATTATCAGTTCAATAATCATGGAAACCTATAAGTTTGTTCATGACGCTCTTCAATGTATATACTTCGAGAAGGTCTCTCTTTATGAACCTGAATTTTGGTGGATAAAGCTGGTAGAAGAAAAATACATGATGAAGACATACAAAACTGGTCCAGAATATTTTTTCGTCACTCATGATGGCTTTTAATTACCCAAAGCTGTGGAAAACGGTTGAAGGCATTTAGAGGTAGGTAGGTAGACTCTTAAGTTAACTTCCCAAGCAGTGGATAAAACGAAGGCTGCAATTTGGAAGCACAATGCACAATTTCGTTCTTTTTGCACGTAGGCCTATGTACAATAATAAAACCGAGACTATAAGAAAAACTAATACCAGCAACGTGTTGTTAGTGACCGCGTCTTTGTTGAGCCAAAAATAAAATCCAATTAGTACCAAGATATTTAAACAATTTAATAATGTTATTTAATATAATATGAATATTTACAATCAAATAAAAATCAGACGTAACCAGTTATTAATGAAATTTTAATTATTCATTACCTAATGATATTAGGCTCTGAAATCACGATAATCAAAAGTTTAGCATTATGTATGTGTAAGTAGGTCTCCATCAATAGAAACACATAACAACCGATAATTTATTTAGAATGGAATGACGCAAGTTCGGTACTAGTAATGGAATATTCCAGTAAACTCTTATTCAAATTATGAGGATGGGCTTAGCGTGCAATGATTAATGATTGAACATCTTACTTCCTGCAGTTGCATTAGTGTAACACTAGGCCCTACTCCTCAACATATCCGAAAAACCTAGGTTGAATCTACACCACTGGTAAAAGAAAAACACAGGAAGCGTCATACGGACTATCAATGATTTTATTTGCAATTTAGCAGCTTTGGAGATGACAACCTTAAAGGAAAGTAGGTCTACTACAAATATAACAATTGATAGCGTTATACCTATTTACTTTCAAGCTATACATATTGCATGTGCTGTAATACACCTAGTAGGATTTTTTGCAAATTTATTCACTATTTTTGTATTAATTAGTCAACGGAACTTGCGGAAGAAACATAATATATTCGTTATCAACTTAGCCGTGGCCGATTTTCTGGCAAGTTTCTGGGGTTTTTTATGGAACGCACTTTTCGGCTTTCAAAGCATTATGAACAAACGGCAGCACAGTTTAACTGGAATGATTTTCAGGTGTATGTTTGACTATTTTATCATGTCGTCAATCCTAAATATTTTTGCCGTTTCTGTTGAGAGATTTTCTGCTATAGTTGCTCCTTTGAGGCACTCCCGTTACACAAGACAACGAACTTTATTATATTACATCATCTTCATTTGGTGCTTTTCTATAACAAATATATTTGAAAATTCTTCACTGAAATATTGTTATATACACCGAT